AAACTCTGGCAGTGCAGCCGGCCACGAGTTCATCTATGAGGACACAGCAGAAAGCACAAAAACCTGCTCTTGTAAGCGGAAAGCCTCTGAAGGGCTGAGCCCCGCAACTCTTCTCACACTCCCAGATCGATTCATACGTGCTCCAAACATTACTATGTAGCAAAGAAGTAAAGGGGCTTTTTGTTTCCTCAGTTCGAAATCCATGTTGATATGTACGCTGTTTTTAATTTCTTGACTATTATTATTATTATTATTATTATCATTCTTTTTGTATTTAGGGCAGGGTCTACAGGGTCTCACTACGTAGACAGGACTCGTGGGGATCCTCCTGTTCACAGCCTCCCAAGTGCTGGGAGTACAGGCGCGCGCCACCACGCCCAGGTTCCATTGCAGGCTCACCGCGCCCGGACGTGGCCCGGCAGGCCGGGATTGATCTCCGGGCTGCTGCGTCTGCCTGGATCCTTTCAAAATACTTACTTTGGTTCACGGTTCAGTGCTCCATGAAGCTCTTCCTTTAGGGTCAGATATAAATTTATTTATATAAATTTTTCAAATAAAAGCCTCTCTCCCCTCTTTCTCTTCTTATTTTCTGTGTTAGGATGATCTTTATTTTATAACTGGGCGAAGCTTCACCAGGCGCTGCCTGCGGGTGGGGAAGCCGCTGCTGCAGGCCTGCAGGGGTGGAACCACGGATGACGACACCACTCTCCGGAGCCCCCCGCGTCTGCACAGGGGAGACCTCCGCCTAGCTGAGCTATTCTCTGCCCTGTGCCTCCGGTTTCTCTTGCTTTACTTTCCTCTTTGTTTGCCTGATCTTCCTCTGACTCGGCTAGTCTCTATTAGGAAGATGTAAATAAGCCCGGGGGGTGGGGGTGGCCCATGCCTGTGATCCCAGCTCTCTGGGAGGCTGAGACCTGAGAGGATCTCAAGCTTAAGTCTGGCCTAGCCAAGATTAGCAAGAGCCTGTCTCAAAATTGGGGGGTAGGGGGAAGGATTGAGATGTAGCTCTGTGCAAAGGCCCCGGGTTGATTGCCTAATAGTCCCCCCCACTTACATTTTAGATTTATTTAAAAAATTTATTTTTATCTTCCATTAGTCCAATCCTTAGTTCTTTTATTTCCAATTTTTAACAATTTTGACTTATGTGAGAGGAAGCGCTCAAGCTGGGCTACCCAGAGGTATTCGGTCCTTTTTACTACCTTTAACTGATATTCTGCGGTTGACTTTCCTTTCTAATTTTTTTTTCAAAGTTTTATTGATAAACAGCAATGAGACAGTTTCAAATCAAATCGGAAGTACAGTTTCAACAAATAATACACTGCATATATTCTTCTTAGTGGTTAATTGCTGTACAAGAAGTGGTCTTGTGATCCTATTTACAAACACCATTAGAACAAATCATTCTATTCATTAAGAGAATGCAACTATATATCTATCCCAACCACTTGGAATACACAGATACAAAATGGACATTCATCGGTATATCCCATTTTTTCTAAGTTCCGTTATTGAATATTATAGGTGTGTAAACTCAGCAAAATATTCTAAAAGAGTCCAGTAGCCCATAATAGCATTGAGTCTTCTGTTTAACTGGCAATGTCAGAAATTATTGACCTGAGTCCCCCACAGTTCCTTTCTAATTGACAAAAATTTTGTCTGGCATTCATAAAATTTGCTGAGAAGGTGCATATTTATTATGCATGTATGCTTACTCTTGAGACAGGTTCTGTCTGTGTAATTCAGGCTGACCTTAAACCCACTGTGTAGCCCTGGCAGGCCTGGAACTGGCGGGGACCCTCCTGCCTCAGCCTCCCGAGAGCTGGGATGACAGGCATGTGCCAGGGCAGCTAAGGGTTGACTTTAAGCGTTCTCACCACACACAAAGCTGGAATGTACAGGAGGTCACGCATGTGCTCACCGTCATGCGACACGGTCATACCTCTGCTTTTCCCTTGGCGTGATTTCGCTTCAGGTCTGCCCAGGGATATCAGAGCTCTGTTCCTAAGAAGAGCCTCAGTGCCAACCCCACTGTCCCCTGCTTCAGATCTGTCCTCGAGGGACTGTGACAATGAATCCCTGGTGGCTCCGTGGCAAAGGTACTCTCACATGGATGGCAGTGGGGGAGGCACCTTGTCGATGGAGTCAGGGGTGGAGGGAGGGTCGCAGGGCTCAGCAGGACATCAGCCAGGACTGTGCGGGGGCAGGACACCAGGGGGAGGCAGTGACGATGTGGGCCGCGCTCCGCGCTCTGGTAGCCAGGCCAAGAGCCTCCCTGTCCCCCTTTGGAGGCAGGAGGGGAGAAGCAGGACCTGGCCCACCAGAAGTGGCCAGGCGGCCGCTGTGCTGCGAGCAGCCTGTGGCCTCTGCCTGCCTCTGCCTCCCACTTCCTCAGCTTCTGGCCACCCAGCCCGCTGCTGGTCGCCTCCTCCCCTCCCGTATCTCTCCTCTCCCAGCATCAGATTTCTCTTGCAATGAGACCTTCTTCGTTTCATCTTCGTTTTTCTCTCCACATATCTCTGCCCCTGATATTGCTCATTGATCCTTCCCTCTAGCATTAAGAAAAAGATTAAAAAACAGAAACAAACAAACAAAAAAAAAAACCAATAAAAAATTGTGAATCCTTTGCTTGCCTGTCAAAGGCACTGATGACCTAGCCAAAGGAAAACTGAACAGTTACTTCCCAGGGTCTGCCATTTCTCTAGCAGGTGGAGGGGCTCACCCCACAGGCTCTGCAGGTGACATCCTGGCACCCCACTTCCTGCCACCCAGTTTCACATCTGGGGTCCCATCCAGTGCTGTCCTCTGCAGAGCACCGCACCCTCCAGAGTCCCTTCATTAACTGTTCAGAACTAATCGCTTCTATTCTCCAACCTGAGGACAAGAGTGAGAGTAGGGACAGAGTCTGGTGCCCTCTGAATGCTGTCCCTGACTGAGGAGAATAACACAGGCGTTCTGCTAGATTCTCTCAACCCCAGTCTTACTATTTTCTAAACACACAAAGCGCAGTTTCTGTCTTCCACAGTTCCTCTTCATCATAGCCCTAAAACCCGATGGATAGGGCAGTTTATTTTGCTGTCACAGAGCAAGTATTTTATACTTGCATTACTGGAAGCACTGGGGGGAAAGTCTTATCTAATCGCCTTATCCTGGCTAATATTTCCACACAACCCCACTCTCTGTCGCATGTTTCATTGCCACCCAGTACATTCAAATGTGCGTATTGTCAGCGTCCTTGTTCTCAGCAGTAACTGTTCCGAAGGCCGCGTGCGGCCGCACGTCTGGGGTTGGTAGCTTTACTTCTCATCTACCGTGCATATCAGAGAGCAAAAGTAAAGCAGATCAGGCACATTCAGGGTGGAAGGGCCGAGAGAAGGGAAGAGTGGAACAGTGAGAAGAGCAGGAAGGAGGGAAAGGAAAGCTTTTGTAAATGGGGAGGGGAGGAGGGTTGGGAATGGGGAAGAAAGAATGAAGTTATATCTTCTACAGGTACAAATTCTCTATGGTGAATGTGAAAATTATGTATATCTAACATGGACCAATAAAATCAGATTAACAAATGAATGTCCATAATGTCACTGGCTAGAAGAATACAAAATAATATAAAGATTCTACTCTTGTTGAAAGTGAAGAACATTTGTGGGAAGGTGGTGACGGGGCGCATCTGCCTCAGAACACCTGCATTTGCCATCACCCTGGCGCCAGGCTGTGCGCCCAGTAATTATCCGATTATGCCTTCATGTGGTCTCACACAGCAAAGTTCCCAGCCTCATGTGAGAATTAAGTACTGGTATGTGGTAACATTGCAATTTCACCACTGAACTGCGCCTGTGGAGATCTAAGTCATGAGTCACTCAGGTTGGGAAAGGAAATCCAGTCTTAGTGTTTTTGTGGAATAATCAGCATTTGCATATATTCTCTACGCCCAGAGGCACTAAGAACTTCAGCTGCTATTGTTATTTCTCCCTGTGGCATCCACACAAACAAGAGCAGAAGAGTTCTGCTTGTGCTTCTAATATTTCTAGATTGAATGGCTTCTAATGTATGAGCTGGTTTTCTTAATCGCGTCAAGCAATTTAATTCTGGGGAAAGATTTTTAACCTTGTAGGCCATTCAAAAAATACTGTCCCAAAGCATGGCACAGAAGGGCCTTTCCTATCTATAAAACTTATTTATACATCTCAAGGTACCAAGAGAAGAGTTAGAGGGCCTTCAACATATACAAAAGAGAACGCTTGGGGCGAGGGATGGAAGCTAATTCTGCTGGTTGGGTTAGCACACTGTCTACGCAGCTCCAAGCACAGTGCTGTGGCCCATAAAACATGTACAATTTTGTCAGTTAAAAATTTTTACAGTTGTTCTATTGTTAAAAATAAAGAGAAGGCTGAAGATTATTGCTAATGAAACCTATAAAGAATAGTATTTTAGAAGAAATTTCCAATGGAAGGAAAGAATTCAGGTTGAGCATTACCACGTAGTTTACAATTTGCATTTCAGCTTCCTTGGCAAGTTATAAAAATGCTAAACAACAAAAGAAGTGGCATTTAGTAAAAGGAAATAGGATGGACTATAAACAAAAATTTATATTAATAACACCTGGCTCAGGGTGAAAGCACAAAACTTTTTGTGACCAGCAAGTATTGTGCTTAAAGTGACTCTGCTAAGGCCCTGGAACATCGCAGTTGGGCTGCATGAGGTCCTTGAAGGGAGGAGGGTGAGCACCTGCCTATGACCCCAGACTATACTAATGACAGCATCAAAGAGAGATTTGTCTTTTGAGTTGTTATTACCACGTACTTTACAGTCTAATTGTTTAATTCAATCTGAGATATACAACTGCATTGTAGGACACTGGACCTTGTGAAGACTCGAACCCAAACCCTCACAAGAAAGACATGATTAGCAGAAGCAGTAAACTCTTTCTTCTGACCGTATCCCCACCGGCTACACCACTTGCATCTGCTGTGCTCTTGGCAATGCTCAAAGAGAAATGTGAAACTCACTCAATGAAGTAGACTTCTCCCTTCTCCGTATAGGCCATTTCCCAGTTGTCGGGCAGCGGGTCGGTGTCCTCGCTGTCCTCGGGCTTGCCGGGCTTGGCATCCTCCACGGGCTCTTTCAGCTCCTCGGGCTGGCTGTACACTGGGGCAGGGTAAGGCTGGGAGGGTGTCTCCCCTGAGGCTCCTGCACTCTTGTCTTCATGTTCACTGGATTCTGCAGGGACAAGAGCCTGAGGTCAGTGACTCTGGCCCCCAACAATGCCCCAACCCTGTGAAATTTACCTTGTGTGGCAGAAGAGAATTTGCAGATGTGGTCAAGTTAAGGCCCTCCAGTGTGGGGATGGGGATTGGGTGGGGATTAGATTTGCTGACCCGGTGGGCTCCTTGGAATCACAATGGTCTGTAAGTGGTAGAGGTAGGCAGAAGAAGAGGAAGAGGAGGAGATGCGCCTGCCAAAGTGGAGCCAAGGAACAGCAGTGCGGCTGCTTGCAGACAGAAAAATGGGACCACAAGCTGAGGACTCAGAGGCCTCTGTGGGCTGGCAAAGGTGAGAAAAGGGCTCTTCCCTGCAGACTGAGGAAGGGGCCCTGCATTTCCAACCTTTGCATTTCAGGACCCGGAACCTGGCACTGCGGCCATGCAATCCAGTTGATCAACCTGAAGCCACCAGATTTGGGCTGATTTGGTACAGAATGAAGAGAAATCTAACAAGACAGCAGGAAACCTGGAAGAGATACATACCTGAGCAGGTGCGGGGGTAGACCCCTGAGCCAAGTACCTTGAATGTGAGCCCCTTATGCTCAGAAGGTAGAAGAAGCATGCAATAAAGGGGCAATAAAGATGCTCTAGATGTCGGAGTGAAAATGAGTGAATGGAATAATTGCAGGGTTCCTCTTTCCCAGCATGGCTTGTTGGTCCAACGTTTCAACTGAAGTACAGGCTTAATTCTATAACAGACATGCTTGAAATATTCCTGAATGTGTATTTGCTCTGGGCTCTTTATGGTTTTCTTTTCTGGCATTACGAGTAGACTATGAGTCTTCCTTATCAAGGAAGAGTAAAACAGGCACTGCACAGAAAAAGAATTGTCCTGAGAATAAGTGAGAAAAGCCACACACTACAGAAGTTCCCACCAGGGCCAGTCTAACCCTGAAACGGGGGAGCACTACTATATTGAGATTCGGAGAGTGACAGCGATGAGGATGCACGGCCATCTTGGAAATATGAAGTTGTGTAACTGAGAACAAATCAATAGTTACTGAAATAAAAAAGATACATACTCTGAGGCAAAGACTCAGTTCTATACTTTGACTCAGTTCTATTTTGAAAATCTTCTTTAGAAATAAATGTATTACTGCATAAAGCTATCTGTAGTCTAACATTTATGGCAGTTTCATTTATAGTAGCAAAGCCCTGGACACAATGAATGTCTTTTAATAAAGATGCGATTAAGTACATGGTGTTTACCATTATCATAGAAAACTATGTAGTTCAAAGAACAGTGAGTCAGATCTGTATGTACTGATGAAGAATGAAGCATATAATTAGTATTAGAAGAGTTATCCAATATTATTAATGTACAACACATTGTCCATTGATTACCACAGGGCAGGAAGTCTGGACTGCAATGGGAGTCTTCCTTACATGTCTTGGCACCCACTGGGTATTTACCATTTTTCATAACTTTAAGAATTAATAAAGACAACTTGAGTGAGTTAACTAAAATAGAAAACCGGCTTCGTCTCAGTGTCAATGGCTTGGGCCAACTTCCCTCCATATGCATCACTTTAGGGGAGTGATGTTGAATGACCTACTAGAGATCAGAAAGCACAACAGTGCCCTATCAGCTTTCATGGCTTTGCTCTTAAACATGTGAATTATGACCATAATATGGCCTATAGGGTGCAGTCCCCCAGCTAATTCCTTGTAGACATTTTGAACTTTGCAAGTTGTGCAGGACGAGGTGGTGTGAGAAAGAGCCATTTTTTGTGGCTTCTCTTTGCTGCACTGCATCATAATCTCCAATACCCCCTACATGGAACATACTGTAATGTGTGCGTGGAGTACGCCATGCACCCTGCTGCCCTGGAGAGCTAAGCTGTGAGTCAGGCTCTGGACATGTTTGCTTGTTTGCTTAACTAGTGTTGACCAAGTGCTTCCTCCATACTGGACACTGGAGACAGAAGAGATGATGAGAGAGGCACAATTTTCCTTTTTGTGGAAAGAAAACCATATCATGTGTGGTCTTCTACCACTTTTAATGTGATGATACTGTTGGAAGGAAAGAGGAGACTTATCCATAGGTGTCCAACTAATGCTGTATTCTATAGATGTCAAGGGAAGTCTCCTACCCAACACCGCCACCAAGTCTGACACTTCTTCAGATGAATGAGGTAGTGATACATAAACCAAGGCTGAATTAGGCAAGGCCTTATGGATCACACCTCAGGGTTAAGACTTTAACTTCAGAAAAATGAGAAGGTGTTTACAAGGCTCAGGCAAGGGAAAGCCGGCACTATATTGTTTTCTCCATGAAGACCTCTTGACTATTCTCAAGATTCAAGGACAGGAAGAGTTGATGTTTTCAGACTATTTCATTTATTCCTGCATTGCAGACAAGAAGTGCTGTTGGTAGGGTGATGGGAAAGATGGATCTGTAAAATATTTAGAGTGTAGATTTTTGTATATTTTCAAAGCAGTACACAAATAAGGACAAAGGAAGAGCTGTGGTTACCCTGGTACGTGATGGTGCAATTCACTGAGACAGGGAATGTGGATGAGGAGCGGGACTCTGCCAAGGTGGACTGTGGGCAGAGGCCCTGCAGACCTGCCATGGAGGTGCCAGGTCAGAGAGCAAAAGACAGTGGCAGGTGGTGGCTCTACTATATGATAATTTAAGCCAGGAGTAAAAGAGTGGGCCAAACTAGACCAGGCAGGAACAGGAAATCAAGATCCTTCAATTTCTCAGTTGTATGAAAAACTCCAACATGGCGCAGCCATTGAGAATGAGAAGCTGGCAAAGGTGGACGAGGAAAGCAGCCGAGGACATTATGGGAAAGCCAGGTGACCACGGTATCAGAAAAGCAAAGCCAAGGGCAATAAGGAATCTACTACTAACTGGCTGCAGCTTCTGAACCTTCTACATGAAAGACACAGAAGTCCCTTGGGGATGAATAACACAAAGGTCACCGGTGACATGAGCTACCAAGTATGACAGGGTTTATGGTGGAGTTATAGGTACAAAGACAGATTAGAAGGATTACAGTGAAGAAAATGTATAAGCACATGAGGAATTCATTCAAGAAGGTCAGTTATGAACAAATAAATGTCCTACCACTAAATGACATTATTAAGAGAAAGTGAAATATCCCTTGGAAAAGAGCCTCCTCTCTGAAGAAGTGTACAATCATATTTACTGTAGCACCGAGTAATGTTCTCCCAGGTTAACTCTTTGTCACTCGCTTCTCTGTTCCTACCTGACCTGATCTTTACATTAGCAAACATGAGCTAAAACCCCATAATGTGTGAAGTGCTTGACAAGATAGTAAAAGGGAGAGGAAAATCTTCCTGATCCGAGTGTGAACTGCTGGGTGGAGAGGGAGGCAGTGATTAGCATTTGCTTCCTCCAGGGCAACAAAAAGGCACAATTTGAATGGGTGTATGGCAAACCACCACCCATTTGCCCCTTCTGTCCATGAAGGCCCATCTGAAGGAGCCAAGGGCCTTGGGGGGACCTAGAATCAAGCTGATACACCACCTGGCTGCAGGGAGCCAGAGAAAGCCTTCCATGCAGAAGCAACTTCTGCTGCCAAAGAGAGGATAAGATGTTTAGACAGTGAGCAAAAGAGAAGCTGAGCCACACGGAGTTGGGTTTCTCTTCCCCACAGCAGCCCTCAGACCACTTATTCTACCTCTGCTGGGCAGTGTGGGTCTTTTAGCAGCAACGTGTCTCCCACACATTCAGTCAGCATGGCCGTGCAAAGAGCTGCCCAGCCAGCCCTGCCAGCCACACTAGAGATTTGCTAATATTCTCAGTGACGTAACATCACTGGATACAATTTTCTAGGAAGAGAAGGTAGTAAGTGGACCAAGAGTACCTGCGAGAGGAAGTCCAATGCTGAACAGTTGGTGAGAGGAGGAGCCAGCCTTTCATTCTTCTATTATTGGTGAATGGGATTGGTCTATTAATTACCTTTATGTATTTGCATCAACAGCCTACTGCAGTCCAGGCCAGGCCCAGAAGTGTGGCCCAAAGGTGATTGGATGGTTTGCTAGAGTCGTCAACAGACTGACTTAAACAGATACTTCCGGTCACATGGTTCTGGACACTTGAAGTCCTAGACCAAGCCCTTGGCAGGGCCAGTGTCTTCTGGAGGCCAGAGGGAAGGCCCCGTTTCAGGGTTTGCCTTGCTTCTGGGTGCTGTGTGGCTGCGACAGCCCCATTTCAGGCTTCCTATGATGCTTTTCCTGGGTCTGAGTCTCAATGTCTCCTAACACGGACATGTGTTACATGGGATGGTGCCCCACTCTACGCCAGCATGACCTCATTGTAGCTGAGTATATCTACAATAACCCCATTTCCAGCAAAAGTTACTTTCTGGGACACTGGGGGTTTAGACTTTAGCAGATGAATGTTGGGGGGGGGGACATAAATCAACTTATAAGTTAGACGGGTTCGTCTTACGGTTCCGTGCACAAGCACCAACCATCTCTGGAACAGTAGGGTGCGGTGTCCTGCAGCACCATATTTGATGCCTTGCTTCATAAGGAGAAGAGGAGTGAGCTTGGCCACATTTTGGATAATAGGACTATGTGTTTCTTCTGATTGTGGTATAAACCTGTAAAAAATCAGGCATGCTGGGTGTTGAATAGAATGATTAAGAAAGTAATTCCTAAGAACAGAACAGATTTTCAATAATTAAAAAGTGAGAATGAGCCAGACCTACACGCTAAGCATCTAAGGGCTCCCGGTCACCCGTGTGTCTTGGCGTGCAGCCCTGTGGGTCTGGGTTCCAGCCTGTGCAGGGAAGCAGGCCCTCCCACATGGCCTGTCCAGGTCAGAGGGGGTGTGGAGAATCCCTGGACTGTTTAAATTCTGACTAAGGAGAAGAAGCCGTGGAACCCACACATGTTTTCTTTTCCTATGAGTGTGTCGGTATTTTTCTTTACAAGGTGGCCAAGTCACGATGTCTGACTCTAAGACACATTTTTCAG